CAGAAACCGGTCTGCGAGAGCTGCGTACCCAACGCGATAAACTAAAGGCCCAGCTGAGCGAATTGCAGGCTCGCGTTCAGTCCGTAGCTGACCAGGTGCAGAATGCTCGCACTGAACACGCTCGCGCCGTGAAGGCAAAGCAGGCTGCACAGGCCGAACTCAATGGACGCAGTTCTGGCTACGCCAACTCCATTTACGCTAATCCTTACCTACACTGCGATACCAGCGGTGGGGGTAAGGCTTGCTACCAAACCACGCCTCGGTAAGTTTTCGCGTTAAGTGCTACTGGCGCGTTTTAAGTAGCACATTTTACTGATAACAGATTCGTATAGTGATAATGAATCACGCTGTTTTTTCCTGCTCTCCTAGTAGCGGTGGACCTCGACCGCGAGGCCGCAGGCCTGGTCGACCTGGCCGGCCTCCTAGACGTTCCACCAGGGTGCGCGATCCGGAGTCAGAGAGCAAAAGTTCTACTGATACCGATAGTGGTGGTGCTGGTGCCCGCGATGATAATGGACCCTCATCTCCGGCTGGCAGCAATACAGAAAAGTGAGTAGTTATAGTCTGCTACCAAGAGATATAAAGAAACGGCTGGTTTTGGAATGATTGCAGCCGTCAGCCATCCTTACTAACAGCAACTGTATTTAAGAATTCCGGTTGGCATTTCATTAGTTCTTTGGGCAAGAATGATTATAAAGGCCCCCAAAATTCCGTCTTCTTATAATAAAAAAACTAATTTCAAATGTGCTGTAGCCTGACTTTAAAATTTTTCGGTAAATTCCACCAATAGGAGGACGAATTTCAATTTTCATTAAATTCCGCCTACATAAGGTCAAATTTCCCTCGATTAGCATTTGTATCCTGCGCAAGAGAAGTTTATGTTGATTGAATTTGGTTATATTTTAGCATATTAAAACGAACATAATCTCATTTAATTTAGTATTCTTTGATCAATTCCGCCACAATTACATATTAATTTACGCTCACTAGCCAAGAATTAAATGTTTGACCACAAAATACTTCAAGCATTTGGGCGGGGGGAATAGATATCTAGAGGGCCCCTACAAATCAATTTTGCCGTTCTCTGTTATGCTTTATTTTCTTTCTGCTCCCGCATCCTATGCCAGCGAAAGAAGAAACTGATACTTAGTTTTTATACTAGTTTTTGCCAATTTGCTCCTCAATATAATATCATAATGTCACCACTATAGGATCTGGTAAAAGGGAAGCGAATTGAAGGACCTCCTGGGGACGTGTTTCTTCGTACTGCACTGACAGTTTATCTGCCTTACCGCTGCAAGCTTTAGTAGAACCAGTCAACGCTGCTCCCCCCCCCCACCATAAGTTAGACCCATGCCTTTTTCTACAATATTCGTTGTCTTGACAAATCCCTCTTGCCACCCCCAGCAGTCACGGTCTTCGTCGCAGCGCACGGGCCCAAAAAGCTCCGCGTCTGGACCCCGACTTTGTGGTCGACTTTGACGATGAAGACGAGGAAGAAGAGGAGGAGGAACAGGAAGTGGATGAAGTCGAAGAAGATGACGATGCCGGCGCTGGTGGTGGCGGTG